GAGTGTTTGTCTGCCTGTGTGTGTGACTGCAACTGTGTGTGTGTGTGTGTGTGTGTGTGTGTGTGTGACTGTCTGCCTGAGTGTGTGTATGTGTGACTGTCTGCCTATGTGTGTGACTGCAACTGTGTGTGTGTGACTGTCTGACTGTGTGTGTGACTGTCTGCATGTATGAATGTAACTGTGTGTGACTGCAACTGTGACTGTGTGTGTGACCATCTGCCTGTGTGTGACTGCAACTGTGTGTGTGCGTGTGTGTGTGTGCGTGTGACTGTCTACCTGTGTGTGTGACTGTAAATGTGTGTGTTGCTAACTGTGTGTATGACTGTCCCCTATACAATCACTACACCCCTACACACACACACTATGCATGGATGAAGGGGAGAAGGAGGTTGGCTGTCAAGATTTTTCACACAGGATGCCTAAAGGCCTGAGGGCAGCCCTGCCCCTTATGTCATACCAATATTTATAAAATCAAAATGCTGTGGGGTGGAGTCAGTCCCTGAAGGAGACGCATCTCATCAGAGCTCTGTACTCGCTATCTGCAAAAAGACATTTTAAAACCTTGCCGACCCAATATAATTGACTCTACAGAAGTTATCAATATTTGGGAAGTAGGTCGAAAAATTACTAGATGCAGGATTGCAAAATATTGGAACTTTGATGGTCCAGGCACAGAGGCTTACTGCCCACAAAATATTCCTGGCAGATATAGTGGTCGCGCAAGAAGAAGTGACATCCTCTGTGGCTGCATAGCGGAGGTGGAGGACAACATTGGAGGGGTTGAGATTTCATAATCAGCCACTGATACTTCCCTAGGGGCACTGCAGAAGATGCAAACTGAATTGGCAACTAGACTGATGAACCTCGAAGCAGGTCTAGGGCTCGTAACATCCATATCTGGAGGAACTTATATTGCTTGTGATGACTTTTCAACACATTATTTTCCTCTGGCAAAACAAATCATCTTGGATGGGTTTCTGCATCTAACTAAAGGTGCTAAAGCTCAACCAGGGGCCTCTAGAGATAAAGATATTTTGCTTTGGTTTCAGAAGGACTCCAGCAAGATGGCACTCTTGGATGCAGTTCATTGCTCTTCCTTGCTTACATTTGAGGGTGCTCTGTTCTAATTTCTTGGGATATTTCCAGACACACTGTGATGTGGAGGCAATCTTTCCAACCATTTAATATAATTCTTAGAGACTACAATGTCCCTTACAAATGGGGCCCTCATTATTTACAAGCTAAAGCCAATGGGAAGTCTCATCCAATTACTCACCTGTCAGCGGGGCTCATTATTAGTGGTATGTAGATTCATAGATAACCTATTATCTGCATGTCACATTGCATGTTGGTGAACCTGTGTGCTTACTATAGTTTTTGTTTCCTGTTCTTAGGTGACAGTAGTGGAACCCAGTGTGGTCTTCTACTGCTGTAGACAATCTGCATCAAGTGTTGACATATTGGGTGTTCAGGGATGCTTTTCTGTGTAACACTGATTTAATACAGTGCCATTGTCATGTTCTTGGAGCAGGTCAGAGAGGAGACAATTGCCAGGGTTATTGGTTGAAACTGTATTTGTCTTTTTTGACATAACAATTTACTTGAAAGAAAGAATTAAGGCAATATGCCACAAAAATTATACTTTGAGAGTAAAACAGAATAAAGGCAATATGCCACAAACAGGATATCTTGAAGAAAATGAATAAAGTATTTTATATACAAGTAGGTTTGAAGTTATTTCCAAGTAGATTAATAGTTTGTGGAATGTCACACTGCAGCCAGGTTCAGGATGATACAAGGTTGAAATGGTTAAAGCTGGTTAGTAATTTCAGTGTAATATAGTACACGTTGCTTAAAGGATTATGCAGAGTTGCAGCAGTTGAGACAGGTAAGTAGATTCCAGTATAAGGAAATACAGGTTGCTTACAAGATCATGCAGTGTTGCAGCAGTTGAGACAGATAAGTAGATTACAGTATAATACGGTACTGGTTGCTTACAGGATTTTGCAGAGTTGCAGAAGTTGAAGATACGAGTTTAAGGAGGATTCCGGCGACGGGACACACAGAGTCTCCATAGAGGATCAGGATGTTTTCAGGAGCCAGGATACAGGATGGTTTCAGTAGTTGAAGATAAGAGTTTCAGGAGGATTCCGGCGACGGGACTCATGGAGTATCCATAGAGGATCAGGGTGTTTTCAGGAGCCAGGATACAGGATGTTTTCAGGAGCCAGGATACAGGATGTTTTCAGGCAGAACACTGACTTCAATGTAAAGGACATGTGAAGAGTTAGGTGTGGCCTTTTATAGCAGACTTGGAAAATCATATGAGGCAGGTGAGGGCAACTGAAGATTGACTAGTGGCAAGGGAGGCCACTAGAGGCGAGAAACAGGTATTGCAGCAATAAAATAAAACAATACCTTGGTTGTCAGGATAGGATCCTGACAGCCATGTATAAAATGATTATTTCAGTTACTCACTCCTTCCGGTCCTCTTGAACCAGTCTGACCATTCTCCTCTTACATATCTCAATAACAACAAACTTTCACCCACCAAACTGCCACTCAGTGGATTTTCATTGCGTAATCTGTAATCTCTCTGTAGAGACTGTTGAGTGTGAAAACCCCAGGAGATCAACAATTTGTGAGACAATCAAACTGCCACATCCGGTATCATCAATAATTCCATGGTCATTGTTACCTGGATTACAATCCTTGACCATTTCGATGTTTTGTTTTTGCCTATATAAATGGACCTATTGCAATGGAAAGCAAAACGGAATTGACAATATCCCAGAGTAAAGCTTAATACAAGAGCGAGAGTTTGAACTTCCTTCAGATCCCACAAGATTTCAATGGTTGTGCAGAACAGTGCTCCTCAAGGCAAACTAACAGTTCAGGTTTTGGGGATTAACTGGGTGTGTTTACGGTGTTTAGAAAAAGAAAAAAAACACCTTGGAGTCTAAGGTGTGTTTATTTATTATTATTTTTTTTAAACACATTTGATACACTCAGGTAATCCCTAAATCCTGGACTGTTAGGTGTGCCTTGAGGAGAGGGATGAGGAGCACTGGTGCAGAATGTTTTGGTAGGACTTCTGTCCCTAGAGATTTTGGAAGCAGAAAGGTCTTGACAACTCGGATTCAAAACTGTTATGGTGATATTCCTGTTTTAATTTTTTATCATGTAAGTGGATCTAATTATTAAAATTGCCTGGCTGCTCTAAGGTTTACACAATGATTTGTTAATTTTTTTCTTTCCATCTTATGACCATGAGAAGAATTTTAAATGGAAGTGAAAATTGTGGTGCAAAACCCCCAAGTGGGAGATACACATTCTATCAATTATACTGCTGTGTCTGTGTGTGCAATACATTCTGTGTTATATTTACATTATATGTTTTTGTTGTATATGCAATACAGCTCTATATATTGATCCTTCAATCTGTAAATTTTGTTTTGTTAATAATACCTCCTGGCTATATCTGCATGCTTTTATGCATTGACTTGCTGCCACGTGATTTGCATTAAAGGGGATTATATATATTATATAAATTTAGGTTTTATATATATTTATGTATATTATGATTGTATATATTATATATATTTAGGTTTCATATATATTTATGTGTTTGTTAAAGGTCCATGAGCAGCACCGAAATATCAGATGCATAATAAATAAAATGTAGGTACAAAGTTACAAATTTATCACACATAAAATGTAGATGACCAGAAGCAGTTGTTTCAAGATTGGGATGATTCAAGATAGTGAGAGAGAGTTATTTGCAGAGAGTGAAGGCTTGTGGAGAACTTGAAGCTTTTCTCGGAATTTTTTTTTTAGCACTTTTGCATTGCTCGGTGTGAGTAGGCTGAATGACCCAATGCTTTGTTGTAATGGGGAATGGAGATTGAGGTGTTGGATGTGGACCTTAGCATATAGGGACTATAGATAATAGGACTGAGCATTTTGCCAGGGTAGTGGAACGTTTAATGGAGGAGTGATTATGAACACATTCGGTGGAATGTCAGCCACTTTATTTTTTTTTACTTTTAACATATCACAGTGATGCGTAATGTAATCACGTTGCAGAACTAATCAATATAGCAAATTATATAGAGTGTTAAATTTACTGAGATTAATTTGAGGTGTATTTACTACACATTCAGTACATTTAATGCATTTACTACATTCTCATAGTCAAGCATCTGTTTTCTGATCACGGGATTTGAGCAAGACTTATGAAGAGAACATTAAAGGACCACTCTAGGCACCCAGACCACTTCAGCTTAATGAACTGGTCTGGGTGCCAGGTCCAGCTAGGGTTAACCCATTTTTTTATAAACATAGCAGTTTCACAGAAACTGCTATGTTTATGAATGGGTTAAGCCTTCCCCCAAAGCCTCTATTGGCTGTCTAATTGACAGCCACTAGAGGCGCTTGCGTGCTTCTCACTGTGAAAATCACAGTGAGAGCACGGAAGCGTCCATAGGAAAACATTGATAATGCTTTCCTATGCAACCGGCTGAATGCGCGCGCAGCTCTTGCCGCGCATGCGCATTCAGTCGACTGGGAGGAACGGAGGAGGATCGGAGGCAGAGAGCTCCCTGCCCAGTGCTGGAAAAAGGTAAGTTTTAACCCCTTTCCAGAGCCGGGCGGGAGGGGGACCCTGAGGGTGGGGGCACCCTCAGGGCACTATAGTGCCAGAAAAACAAGCATGTTTTCCTGGCACTATAGTGGTCCTTTAAGTATGGAGTACAGTTTAGAAAATAGTTTGTCAATATGTATTTAAAATGAAAGGTCAGGGTCTAGTCACATTTTAAGATATTTATAGGAATGTACTGCAGCGGTTGATTCGGGGCTTATTTACTTGTTTCATGATATACTTTGTTCCAAACACCATTGTGACAGTTTAATCTGTACGTAGGAATCGTTTGTCTTTTGGAATCCATCCCTCAACCTCAGAGATATTCTAGGTTTAAGCAGCAGTAGATTGTGATACGTTTGCCATGTGTAGAAACTGATCAGCCACAACATTAAAACCACTGACAGGTAAAGTGAATAACATTGATATATTGTTACAATGTTATCTGTCAAGGGGTGGAATATATTAGACAGCAAGTGAACAGACAGTTCTTGAATTTTACGTGTTGGAATCAGGAAAAATGGGCAAGCAAAAGATCTGAGTGACAAGGGCTAAATCATGATGGCTAGACAACTTTTTCAAAACATCTCCAAAATTGCAAGTCTTGTAGGGTGTTCCTTGCATGCAATGGTTAGTACCAACCAGAAGTGGTACAAGGAAAGACAATTGGAGAACCAGCATCAGGGGCATGGGCTCCTAAGATTCATTGATGCACATGGGGGCCTTGTCCCTCTAGTCCGATCGCAATTTGAACTGTACTTCTGAAAAACGTAATGCTGGCCACGATAGGAAGGTGTCAGAACACGCAGTGCATCACAGTTTGCTGTGTATGGGGCTGCGTTGACATAGACTGTTCAGAGTGCCCATGATGACCCCTGTCCACCACCGAAAGTGGCTTCAAAGGGGGCATGAGCTTTAGAAGTGTACCATAGAGCAACCTGGAGTAGAGATGGCAGCATGATGTACTATGTGAAGAAGGCAGGTGGGTGGAGGCAGTGCTATGCTCTGGGTAATGTTCTGTTGGGAAACCTTGGGTCCTGGCATTCATGTGTGCGTTACTTTGACACTTACCACCTACCTAGAGATTGTTGCAGACCATATGCACCACTTAAGTGACCTCTTTCAGCAGGATAATACACCCAAACTTTTGCAACACTCCAAACATTGTTTAGGAATTGTTTGAGGAACATGACAAAGAGCTTTAGATGTTGTTTTGGCCTCCAAATTCCCCAGATCTCATTGCAATTCAGCATCTGTGGAATGTTCTGGAATAACAGATCCGATCCATGAAGGCCCTACCTCGCAACTTGATGGACTTAAAGGATCTGCTGCTAATGTCTTTGTACCAGATACCACAGGACATGTTCAGAGGTCTTGTGAAATCCATTCCTCAATGCATCTAAGCTGTTTTGGCAGCACAAGAAGGATCTACAGGACATTAGGCAGGTGGATTTAATGTTGTGGCTGATCAGTGTGCATTTGTAAGTGTATGTGTATATATAGAAAAACAAAACTTGAATGGCAAGTTCTGCTAAAGAAATGATACATGAAACATAAATCGTTCACAATACTCAATAGCTACATAGAAATGGGACCCCCAAGTACTTTAGTGAAACAGTATATTAAACTTTTATAGTTCACAATTCAAAGTTCGACGTTTTGAAACTCTCAAGATCAATTCTCAAGATACTGATATATGCAAATTGAACATGTACAACGATGTTTGTATGTCAATGGAAATTCTATCAGCAAGACAAATTAATAAATTAACAGCTCATGCTGATTATTTCTTATCCTTTATGTGAGCAAAATACTAAATATGAACATATATTCCCAGACTACTGTTTCTGGGACCTTACTTCAGTGTTGATTTTGTTCCACATGTAGAACTTTGAGTTCCTACTGTGCTCACTGGGATATCCAATCATGGATAATATTTTGTTCCCTCTTACTAATATATGCTTTTGTATTACATGCCATCTTCTATGGCATGCTCTCTGGTCTTCATTTTTCTTCAGAGCCTCACACAGTGGGGTTTTATCTCGAAAATATAGCAGTAACTTTAATGGATCACAGGTGGAGGCCAATGGTAAAGTTCCTCGTTAGAGTGAGTTCTTTTATCTGAGTTAACTGGGATCTTCTATGGTGCTCAGATATGCAAGGCATGTATTAAACATGATTAATTCTGAAAAAAAAACAGCATTAAAAAAAATCCAAATCAACTTAACAATTGATTTTGAGTGACACTGGGTTCATAGTTTCCATAATACGGTATTTCAAAGATCCGTCTATGAATCATATATATGAATTGGTTGATATATATATATATATTGGTCAGGAGTCAGAGAGTCTTTGTATGCTAGACATTTAGAAAGGTTTAGTAGAAAAGAAAAAAGTAACAAATATTTGTAAAACATTTAAATTAATTCCAAAATATGTTAGTGAATCATATGCATAGGGAAAATACAATATACATCCAATTAATATTTGCTTTATATCAGGGGTGCTCAACTCATGTCCTGCAGGCCACTTACGATCCACTGGACCTTTCAATGCAGCCTGGGAATACAGCCATCAAATCAACTGGTGCATGTCCTGTTTAATCACATCAATGCTTTTCAGATTAAGTTAAAATGCATGAAATTGCAGTCTGCAGAACATGTTTCTCAATGTGTGGCTAAAATATCTCTGCTCCAGACCACGTTCCAAAAAGATTCCAAGATTTATGTGTTCAAAAAAGAACCCTAAATGGGTTAGCTAACCCATTGTCTGTGAATGTAATTAACTCCAGGGCAAGGTCTGCTTCCTAGCTGGAACAGGGGACAAACCGCAGAACTTCTGCCCACCATCACCGTGGATTGACTGGGGCCCTGGAACCGCTTCTTCCTGGAGCCAAATGGGGAATTTGCTCTAGACACCTCCAGGCACTGGACGACACTCAGTCTTGGGAGCTGTAGTCCTTACAAGGACTTTCCCTGTTGAATCCCCTGCAAGCTGGAACAGCAGACACAGGCGTAAATCTTCCTTACCTCCAATAACAGGATGACACAGTTTTGGAGTGCAAGCTGGAACACTTTAATGGCAGCCACAACTGGCCTTCTATGCATGTCCCCAAGGGGGACTGCAGCACAAAGTCACAGACCAATGACAAAGGTGTTTAAATACATGACACTCCCATAGAAGCATACAATCCCTCCCCTCTGCCTGGGAGATAATTGGATCAGTAAGTTTTTTTTTTTCAAAACACCCCAAAAGTACCCTAAAAATACATAAAAATTTTACATCCCCGGATAGCCCTGATCTGGGTGACCAACATATCCAAAAATCACCCAGATCAGTTCAGAGTTTCAGGAATTCTATGGAGGTCATTTATTTGAGAATCAGGGCTTGCGATCAGTCTAGTTTGGTAGTTTGAAAATGAACAAACTACCGAACAGAGTCAATAGTCTTACCCTGGAGCTTGTTCCCCTCATCCAGACGAATGTTTTCACTGAATAGTGCCCTTCTAAGTTCAATAGAACCGAATGCAGGCGATGATGGAGGTCCAGGGGTGTTCGGAAGTTTCTGTGTCCAATTTTAGTTCCATGAGATTCATGCCCAAACACCATTCCCTGCGTTCATGCGAACAAGATGGCCGCCACCTCATGGTTGTCCATAGGAATTGTGGCCACCCAGACAAACAATTAGAACACTGTGGTGAGAAATGTTCCAAGTTGTTAATAGATGTTAACCATCTCCAGGGTAGTCTCTGGTTCATGTGGTTGTTCGGTAACTGAACCATATAATCCAAATTTCATGAACTGAGACTTTAACATTATATCTCCTCCAAGAGCTTGTGGCAAACTCATAAAAAGGGGAGCTTGTCACATTATTATCATTTATATAGCTCCAACAAATTCCACAGCGCTGTACAATGGGTGGACTAACAAACACGGAATTGTAACCAGACAAGTTGGACGCACAGGAACAGAGAGGTTGAAAGCCCTGTTCTGAGCTTAGATGCTAGAGGGAGTGGTGTAAAGTGACACAAAAGGTAAGGGTAGGGGTGGAAAAGTAGATTAGTAGAATAGTATTCACTGAAGGCTCAGTATGTTTTTTAATGACAGTTACACGAAAGGTATCAGGGTACCGGGGGAGCTACTAACAATTTAATTGATACGCTTTCATGAAGATGTGAGTTTTTTATGATTTCTTAAAGGAGTGGAGACTCAGGGAAGGGAGTTCCACAGGAACGGTGCAGCTCTTATCCCACCTTTTGCTCCTTTCTGTGTCTTATAACCCCTTTAGTGTATCTTTTCCACCTTTTGCGTGTCTTACACCCACTTGTGTGTCTCTTTCAACCCTCCTTGGCCCTCCCAGCCTCTTTGTATGTCTCTTTTCTCCTCAGCCACACATTCATAGATATACAGGCAATAAGAAATACATAGACTGAGACACAAATATACAGACACGCAATCATTCAGGCACACAGACGTAGCTATTCAGGTATATAGTGACACAGTCACAAAGGTATACAGGCACCAGGGCTGGTGCCACCATAAGGTGGCACAGATGACCACCTTAGGGCGCACCAGCCCGGGAGGGGCCAATGTTAGGACTGCCCCTACTGCCACTCACTTCATGTAGCAAGGCTGCAGGACCAGTGGCGTACTAAGGGGGGGGCGGAGGGGGCGGTCTGCCCCGGGTGCCAGCAGATTGGGGGGTGCCATGACTGTAGAGAGCCTCAGGCGGCTGCAGCTTTGCCCGGGCGGTGCGTCCATGAGGGCGGACCGCACCGCCCGGGCGC